GCCAGGATATTACATGAAAAGTGCCTCTACCTAGAACATAAAATTGATGTCATCATTCTGGAACTCATAGTTAAAAAGGGCATGTGTTTAACAGTATAGAGAGTAGAACTAGGGATGGTTTTCTCCCCACAAAAATGAACCTTACTTGTTGAGATAATTTTAAAAGAAAGCACATACTTTTGGTTACTCCTTTGAAAGAAAGATGTTACTTATATATACCAGTTCTTTGGGCATTGTGACTATCTTATACTTCTGTTGTTATGCTCTGATTTGACTATGCTTTCCAGACTCTTGTTTTTTGGTTGGCTGTGCAATAATTTACAGTGATTAGGCTTTTTATTATTTTAGCAAATTTCTCATAATGACTATATTATATAGCAGTGTATATTTTCTGTTGCTGCCCCACAAATTACCCCAAAACCTAGCAGCTTAAAACAAGCATTTATGATCTCCTACATTTTCTGAGGGTCTGGAATCCACCAGGATCTTAGCTGGATGGGTCTAGTTTAGGGTCTCATGAATTGTGCCGGTTAAGCTGTGGTCACCTGAAAGCTTCCCTGGGGCTGCGGCATCCATGTGCAGGATGGCTCACGCACATGCTGCTGGCAGGAAGCCTCGGCTCCTCGCCACGTGGCCCTCTCTGGAAGGCTGCTTGAGTGTCCTTATGACATGGAAGCTAGCTTCCCGCAAAGTGGGTGTTTCAAGAAAGAGCAAGGTGGAATTGGAAATGCCTTTTATGATCTAGTCTCTGAAGTCACACTCTGTTGTCTCCATCTCATTTTATTTGTTAGAAGTGACTCATTAAAACCAGTGGGAATTCTAGGCAGAGAAGTAGGCTCTACCTATTGAAGGTACCGTCAGAGCACTTGTGGACATATTTTAGATCAGCACAATGATCTTTTGGTAGATTGTTGTTGTTTTTTTTAACCTGTGAAAAAGTATCACTTGTTGAATACTAGTTTATATTCCAGTTGTGGTAATATACACTACATTAATATTGCACATGATAGGTTCTAGACCATAAACTTATTTTATCAGTGAGTGCCAAATAAATATATATGGTGTTAATGCTTTTATTAATCCAGTTTTTAAATGGATGTTGGTGTTCTGGGGCCCTCTTCTCTTTTCATTCTTAGAACACCATCTCATACAAAGCCATAGCTTCAAATACTCTATGCTGTTGACGTAATAGATTTGTATCTTCAGTACCCAATGTGTCCTTTAAACTTCATGCCCATTAGACATTCCCTTTGGGTAATCTCAAATGTCTAAAATTGAACTCTTGATCTCTTCACTCCTTTCAAAATCTGCTTGTCCTCATTCCAGTAATTGCTCATGCCAGGAATGCAGAGATCTTCTTTACTCTCACTCTCCCTTACCCCACAATCTAATCCAATACTAAGCCCTGTTGAGTCTGTTTATGAAATAGACCTTGAACCCATCCACTGTACCACCACCACCCATTCTTAAGCACCATTGTCCCTCTCCTAAACTACTATACTGTCCTCAACTGGTCTCTTTACTTCTGCTTTTGTCCCCTCCAGTCCATTATATAGAAACCAGATAATTGCCTTCCCATCCCACTTAGATTTAAATCCCAGATCTTTCATACACTTTTCTCTGATCTGGTCCTTGTTTTTCCTATTTCTTCAAACTCACATCCCATCAACTACCCCTTATTCTCACCATTTCAGAAATACCATTCTTCCATTGCTCTTTTCTGCCTCAAGATTCTTGTACAGGCTGTTCCTTATGCCTAGAACTCACCCCCTTTTCTTTACCTGGCTAACTCTAATTCTTCAGATCTCATCTTAAATGTCACTTTTTAGCATGGCTTCCCTTAGTCTCTCCAGATGAGATTAGGTCACTACCCCATGCCTCTCTCGGACCTGGCACTTTTCTTTCCTCACACTTAGCACAAGTTATGATTACATATGATTTGTACTGTCTTGTTTAGTGCCTGACTATCTTAATTGTCTTGTTTAATGACTATGAACTCCACGAAGGCTGGGTCCGTTTTGCCCTCATCAGTCTATTCTCATTGTCTAGTACAGAATCATGTATATAATAGGTACTTAATAAATATTTAGGAAATAAATTAATAGTCAGTGGCAAGAACACTGTTCCTGCAGGACTTGAGCATTAGAAGGAATCCGATGAATCACTTAATTGGTCTAGTCTCCTTTCCGTCCTGTCTGTCATGTCCTTGACAGAGGTGCATTCACATTTGGTTCCTTTGATATGCTGTGAGCAAAGGCCCCGATCTTTGAGTTGTAAGCTCAAGTGTAGTCATTTCCCTATCCTTTGCATTCCTGTCATTCCTCTCTAAAGTGTTCAAGAGGCCTGACCAGGTGGAATAAAGTAAGGTGGTGACCCTCTTTGATTACAGCAGTGGGCCTCCGTCCCTGCTTGGTAAGATTGCCTTCATGTCTCAGCAGTTGTCATAAGCACTGATGCATATTGAGCTGGTAGTCAGCTAAAACCTACTATTTTTCTTTTAAAGATTAAGGCTTTCCATTGTTGGATTACAACTGAGGCAGTTGAAGCCATTTTACCTTTAGTCTTCTGTTGGCTGATAGCTGTTCTCTATACAAGTTATTGTAGATCACACCTGTTACTTCCTGTGCCATGTTATAAACATGTATGAGAGGAGGAGACTTTATTGAGCACCTATTCTATACCAGGCTCTCCTACTTTATAATATATAATTATGTGTAACATACATAAAATATCCAGCAGGGCAGTCTAGGGTAGCAGTTAACACATGGACTCTGGAATCAGATCTCCTTGATTAGAATTAGAGCCCTGCCATTTACCAGTAAATTCCTTAAACTGTGCCTGCCTCAGTTTCCTCATCTGTAAAATTAAAATAATAATTGCACCTATCTCACAAGGTAGTTGTGATGATTTGATAATATTAATATATTCAAAGCATTTATAATGGTGCTAGTACATAATTAGAGGTGAATATGTATTAGCTATTACCTCATTTAGTTCTTAAAATAATTACGAGTTAATAATATAATTTCAGTTTTACAGATGAGGAAACTCATCCAGAGAGGTTAGGTTACTTATTTCAGGCAGATCAAGATTTGAACTTGTGCCCAGCATAGCAGTCACAGATGTTTATGGGAAGAAATCACACATAATCCCCTTCCAATGAAAGGGACTGTGACTGTGGCAGGTGCTTAAAGTCTCCTCACTTGCTCTGCAGGATGCTTTGGCTGTCCCTCTAATGAGACTAGACCACATATTAGCTTTAAATAAATTGATGAGGAAACAATGACTCTGGAAGATGGAACCAGTCATAGCAGTCAGTTTCACCTAAGACCAGGAGCTCCTTGCAGCGGGGACTGCCATACTCATGTCTGTATCCTAGCACCCTGCACTGATGTATTATAGGCACCCAAAAAGTGCTCTTGGTGAGTGGGTGGCGGTATGGAGCAGGCGGAGCTAGTAGGAGAGGCCGAAATGATGCCAGGCTTTTTGTCATGGGTGACTGAAGACATGGCACTACCTTCCTCAGTGATAGCAAATGCAGGAGAAGGAGGCAGGCCTAGAGGGTTAAGAAGGAAAGTTAATGCATTTAATTTAGACGAGTGTTGTGTAATCCTAGTAGAGATACTTAGTAGGCAAATAGAAATAATGATGGGAAAACAGGGTTGGAATTATACTGCAAACTGCTTTTGAATTTGAAACCTGGAACAAGTATCCCTAGAATCACAATTGTGTAATTTCAAGAAGGGAGTTTTCCCAAGAAATGCTATTAAATCACATTATGGATGTTGTTCTGTAATTATTTTAGATTTTATGTCTTACTGTCTCAGCATTCTGTAGATGGGAAGCAATTTAATTTTATAGTAGAGAAGTGAGAAATTGTAGACGTTTTAGAAGTCAGATATTAAAATGCACAATATAAATGACACTCTATAAACCTTATTTCCTCAATACTGTAAGTGCCTTTGAAGAGCTAAGTAAAGTGAAAAATTCTTAGGTTGATAAAATAGAAAGCTCAGGTTGTTTGTGGTAGAAATCATGCTAGGGGTAATTAAGTCATGACTAAATAAAATCTTTTTCATTCAGGAATAGTTTAGGCTGAAATCAATAAAATCGAATCGTCTAAACCAATAGGATGGGAGAAAGAATTATATTCATCTATATACGAAATAGTGGGGGGTTTTTTGTTACCCATTTCAACTATTTTATAATTGCCAGATCTTAACTGGGGAGGTTAGATTTCACATTATCCATATTAAAAGCTCAATTTTATAATAATGGAGCCAGATTTGCAATATTTTAGGAAAATAATTTTAAGATATATTTCTGTTACTTTAATGATGAAGCACACTGCTTATTTAAATATGTGTGATTAGCTAGGCTTTCTCTTCTATAGAATAAATTATTGCAAAGATTTGAGGTGTTTTTATCACATCTATTAGGATTTGAAAGATGATTGATGAATAACTTCATATTTTAAATTCAGTTTTTCCTGCTTTATTCTTCATATATTTAGAAATTGTTACTAATAAAATAATTAGAGCAGCCAGAAAAGACTATTGGGATTATTTAGTGTACTTGTTTTACATATGCTTAATCTGAGATCAGGAGAGGTGACAATCTATTTACTGAATTATTTAAGCTTTTGAATTACAGTGCCTATTTGTTATTGTAAATAAAGATAGCTTTAATGTTTAAAAATGTATTTCATTTCTGGGTGGCTCAGTTGGTTAAGCTTCCAACTCTTGATTTCAGCTCAGGTCATGATCCCAGGGTTGTGAGATTGAGCCCCACATTGGGCTCCATGCTGGGCAGGGAGCCTGCTTAAAATTCTCTCTCCCTCTCTCCCTCTCCCCCTCCCCCCATTCTCTCTCCCTCTCCCCACCCCAAAATGTATTTCATTATTTAAAGGAATGTTTGAGCATTTGTTTTTCTCTCTTAGTTTTGAAAACTTTCCAGAATTCAATTATATTCATTACCTTTTTTATATTTTTATCTTTCAGGAATCAAGAGAAAGCAGTGGAAGTTGGAGTCATTGTCAAGTGATTGAGACCTTTTGCAAGAAAATCTCCTTGAATTAAAGTCATTTAAATTAGTGACATAACAAGACCAGTTATTAGAGGTGACACTGTACAGGAAACATTAAAATTGAACAATGACTCAGCTGTATATTTACATCAAATTATTGGGAGCCTATCTGTTTATCATTTCTTATGTTCAAGGTAAATCAGTGTTCATTTAAGTAATCTTTTTCATTATTTCATTTCTATATTTAAAATACCCATTCTTGAAACTGCTTCTTCTACTCATGTGCCTTTTTGAACATTTAGGCTCAATATGCCAGCATAACTTTTAAGTAAAAAGGCAAAGAACAAATACATGCCAGGTAATTTTGAACGTGATTGTGATAGAAACATTTTCAAATATTTGTAAAATTTCAGCCTCTCTGAATCTGTTCTCTTATCCATAACATAGGCATTATGATATGCAACATTAAGTCTTGTGAGGATTAAATGAGATAAAGTATAAAGTAAAGTATCTGTCCTAGTAAGACTAAGACACAGGGTAATAGGTACTCAAGACATAGTTTTAAAATTCCTTTCTCCTTTAAAATACAATACAGAATAAATGTAAATAATTTAAAAAATCATTTTGTCATCATTAAAAAACTTCAGAAAGGTAGTTGCATTTGTATGTGCTAAATACTAAAATTTCTTCATAGAATACTCAAAAGTTTTATTTATGAACAGCATTGTAATTTTGTGTTCGTAGCTTGGAATTCCCAAACAGGAAATTATTGTGATGACTCTGAGGATCAGATGGGCTATATTTGCACATGGGATTTTCCCCAGATGGTTTAATTAGGACATTATTTCAAACTGAAGAGAGAGTACTCTTGCAAAAGGATTTTAAAGTTATTGGGTATCTTCATTCTCTTAAGTTTATGTCATCACAGATTGTTCTTTCATAAAGTTTTGTTCAGAGTGATAAAGACTACTAGCAAGAAATACAATTAACAGCACAAATTTTTTGACAATTTCATTTTTTTTTAAATGTATTTATTTGAGAGAGAGAGAGAATCCCAAGCAGACTCCCTGCTGAACATGGAGCCCAATGTGGGGCTCAGCCCCATGACCCCGAGATCATGACCTGAGCCGAAACCAAGAGTCAGACACCTTAACCTATTGAACCATCCCAGGAGCCCCTGATGTTTTCATTTGAAAGATAAAAATAAAATCTGTAGCTTCATATTTTGTCTTAGGTGTAATTGATACCTTTAGTATTTTCTTGCTCAGAATACAGAGAGCCCTCTTCGAAAAGCCACTTTTTTTTTGGTGAAATACCAAATTATTTAATAAAACACTTTTATTTTAACAGCTCTTGTTATATGTCTTGTTGATCAGCCTCAGCCAAAGCTGTTTTGAAGATGAGTTAAATTAATAGTAGCATATTTGTTACCTCACTCCCAGATAATTAGTATTTGATGTTAAATTTAAAAAAAAATCTATAGATCACACAGAGGCAATGTAATTCAAAATTCTTTCCCCACTCTGATTCAAATTATTCTGTAATAAACTTTTATTAGATGAAATAAACTGGTAATTAGTTATCAGGTGTAAGTGAAAAATCTTGGTAAGAATTACATTTCTGTGATGAATAGCCAAATGTTGTTACATTTCCTTTCAAAAAGATTAGTTTGAGAGTTGCTTTAAATAAAACTATTTAGTCTTAAAAAAACCAAAACCAATGTAGAAGAAAATGTTATTTCTTAGAGATTACTAAGGATTGGAAGTGGTGTTAGTGGAAATAACTTGACTTTAGCTTCAACTTTAGCTTCAGTTGTGTCTTGGGAAAGTAAATTTCTCCATATTATTGGTTTCCTAGTTGTAAAGTAGAAACAATAATATGTATCCTAGATGTAAACAGGAATTTTTGGAGCATTAGATGTTTTGATAAAGATTTAAGTCCTTTACATTGAGATAAAGTTATTCAAGTTGGAACAAAGAACGAGTCAGCTGATATTAACATCTAATTGCTATTTAGTCCTTGTTTTTGGCTTGGTCACAAGTTTTAGAAATGGATTTTAGCTTTAAGAAACTGATTACCCAACAAACAGTGACTTAAACAAGTAGATTTATTTTTTAATGTAGATGGTAGATATTGCTGGTGCTCATTCAGTAGTTGAGGTGTCAAGGTTGACATCTGTAGTTTTCTTGGCTTTTCCCTAATGGTTACAAAACGGCTGCTGTTATCTGCATTGGAGGAAGGAAAAATGGGGAAAGGGTCAGCATTGACTTCAACTGGATGTTATTTCAGGAAAGCAAAATGTCCCCAGAAACCAGCCTTCTGCTGGCAGATTTTATTGTGTTTTGTTGGATAAACTGAGACAGTTGCTAGGGCTACTGGAAAACTGGGAGATGGGGTCGTCACAGTCAGCTTAGATTAATCTAAGTCCATTGCTTATGGCTGGACACATGTCCCGCCGGACAAAATCAGTTTGGTCAGTTAGGAAGATAGGGAAAATAGATACCCTTGGGACAACTTAAAGAGTCTGGAACAGATTCTTTCTCTTCTGTCAGTTAAGGTGTTTTCATCTCTTAAGTAACAATAACAACAAAAACCCCAATTCAAAATAGCTTAAACAATAAGGAAAATGTTGTATTACAAAACAAGAAGTCTGATGGTAGGGGGACTTCAGTAAGTTAATTCCTTGGCTCTCATCAAGTTCTTTCTCTTTTTCAACTGTGTTCTCCTCCACCTATTAATTTAGCCCTAGGTTAACTCACTCCATGGCCACAATGTGGCTGCTGTGGGGCCAGAGATCCCATGTAGACATGGCAGATTTGAGTTGACAGCATTCGGTAGAAGAGGGAATCGATGTCTCTTGTGTCTCTTTTTAATTGGTAAAGAAATCTTTCCCCAGGCACCTCTCCTCTTCCTTCCCCTTCCTTTTGCAGCGGACTTCCTTCTAACTTTATTGGCCAGAATTAATTTATGCTCTTGTGTAAGCAGTGGCAAGGGGACTGGAACTAAAATTGTTGGATTAGACAAAACAGTTGTCTCTACTGAGGGTAGGGCTGTGCTATACTTAAAAAAGTGTGTGTGTGTGTGTGTGTGTGTG